CATTTCGTTTGACTTTGATGTAGGCCATCCTTGTGGTAATATATCGTACTCTGTTAGTTTTCTTAAGATCAAAAGCAAGCATTTATTCACAACGTAAAGGTTAACGTCGTCATTTTAGCCTACTCTCGCAGCAAGAGAAAATGGAACTAAAATAACAATATTTTTCTTCATAGGGTTTCGTTTATTGTTGTATATCGTATATGTGACATAATTCGTAATTCTTCCTTGTAGACAAGTAATAACATGGTTTACAATATGGATATATTGTTATCAGAATCAAACTGTCCTAATGCCATTGCATATATCAATGCTTCACCATCAAGATGTCCTCCTGCACCAGGCAGTGACGTAAGTCAACAAAAATACATTCTTTTCCCAGACTATACTTCGTGATTAGATTCAAAATATGTCATCAGCAAATATTCAATAAAATGGATTTTTGTTAAAATGAATACTATCAATATCTAGTTCCTCAAACTTTGTTGTAAATCACATTAAAATCACAATTGCCTTTGTCATTATTTCAGTCGCAACTATGTTCCGTTGTAGTAACATATACTCCTACAAGAGTGGGTTATCGTTTAACAAAGTATAACTGTCAAAAATATCAGCAGCAACAACAAAACACACAAGGTATTACACACTGTTTTATCATCTTTGGTGGCAGTTTTAAAATACCAGTACCTTTTGCTCAGTAACAATTATGAAATGCCAAATGAACGTCCACTTAACTGCTGTGGTCCGCGTGGTCGCCTTCTATGAACTGGGACAATTTTGTGTCAATAGCTTTACACCCTTGTATTTATTTCAACCGATAAAATTTATTTTCAGGGTCTGTTGGAACTGTATCACAAGGTCGTGCAACGCAAGGTAGGATTGCTACTAAGCATATAAATGACCGGAAAGTAAACGACATTTTACTTTTCCGAGGTATCAAATCCAACTGTTGAGATCAGAGGACGAAATCTACCAATCAGCCATTAAGATATTATGAAAAACTAGTTAAATGCATTCATCAACAATACAGAAAATATGAAGCTTTCTATTACGGAAGCGTGGATAAGATGGTCAATGCAGTAACACCAAAAATCCCCTTATTTCGTTTTTGTTATTTGCACTGATTCAGCCTTCTTTTTTTGTTTAAGCATCTACCCTGATTTCACCACCGAGTTTCACAACTTCTGGACATTTGAGCACAATTACTAATCCACCAAATACGGGATCACCAAATACAATTACTGTCAGTGTACCAAATCTGAGAGCTAACATTGGCACAAACCCTCAACAAATTACACCAAATCAAGCTTTTACACAGGCTGGTCAACAAAATCTAAGACCATCTATTGGGGCTTCTCAGAACCTTTTCCAAGCTCAACAACCTATCGGCACAGCTCCAACAAGTACTGGTACACAAGTTGGTGCAACTACAAACGTACAAGTAAACACCGGGTTTCCTGGGTCAACCATGGGATTTAATCCAGGCACAACAAATGCTGCTGGTAGTATAAACCTTACTGGTTTAGGACCACGATTGCCACAAACAAATCGGTTACAGAACCCCATTTCGGGGGTAAACATTGGACCAACAAATCCAGGAAGTAGTATCAACCTACGTGGAATGGGATCTATGTTGCCTCAAACAAACCTTCCCCAGAATGTAAATTCGAGAGTTGGTGGTTCAGTTCAAACAGGACGAAGCCAAATTGCAGTACCGGGGCAAATAAATTTACCTGGCCAAATGCAAACTATATCATTGACAGGAACACAGACGCAATTTACACCTAGAAGTCAACCAACCAATAATGCTGGTATAACAACTGCTGCTGGGATACCTTTCCAAGCTGCTGGGATACCTTTCCAACAACCTCAAATAAACCCCCAGAATCCAAATTTTAGAGCAAGTAATTCAGGTCAAATGGGACAGGGCCAAATAGCAGGACAAGGACAAATTGGTGTGCCTGGCCAAAGACTGGGTGGACCACAAACACAGTTCATACCAAGAGCTGCTGGTGTAAATCTCCAACAAACCGGCCAAATAGATTCTCAAGTAACGGCTGCTGCTAATTTTGCAACGAACGCCTACAATGCTAAGATCAGACAGCAATTCTCAACTGAAGATAAGTGGTACACCTTAATCGACATCAGTAACGTCCAAAGACAGGTTGGTTCTAGTTTTTACAGACAATTACACACAATTTTAATAAAATGTATCTGGCCTCTAATAAATCCCACAAAATGTAAATTTTATATATATCAACAAACAAAATTTTAAGTGCCGAATTCGAACTAATTGGGCTTTTTCCAAAAATCTGCTTTAATATCCTTTTTGTACCTTAATTTAGGGTAACGGAGGTTCTAATATTAACATGGATATCAATTTACAACAGTCATCTTGTTTTAATACAGCTGCTAGTACTGGAGCTACAGTTAATCATTGTCCACCAATACCAGGAGGAAA